AGAGAAGGATACTTACAAGCATCTCAGCTGCCTCTTTTCTAGGCTATGTGCTAATTCAGTATTAAGGTCCCTCAAGTGCCGTTGTGTAATGTTCAATGTTTATTTTCAATCAATGTTTATTTATATAGCCCAATAGCCATGACTCGAAGTCCAGGACTCAGATCCAGTACTCAGGATAGAGGATCCAGGACACACGACCACAGCAACAGGATTAGCCTCGACTCAGGATCCCGGCGTATATATGGACACAAAACACTCTTAAAAACGGATAGGCTGTCTGCCGCCCCAACACAAACTGGAAGTTGATTCCACAAATGTGGAGCTTGATCAGAAAAGGCTCTGGCTCCCATTGTACTATGTAATGTTGACAGTCTCCAGTTAAGACAGCGGGGCGAAAAGGTCTGATGGCCATTGGACCGTGTGTGCTGGATCCTGTTGGGATGTGTCACTCTGAGTAGAGTAGTGAGAGACTCAGAGACAGATCAGAAGAGGGAAGGAAAGTGTGTGTGTCAGCGTGTGTGTGAATATGTAAAGAGGAGGCAAGATGTGAGAGGTGTTAAAGAAAACAGCTTTCGACTTGTAGAGATGGAATGGGTGGAGGGAAACAGAAATAGCAAAAGAGACTGTCAGAATAAGAGATTTGAACAAAGGTCACACACACACACACACACACACACACACACACACACACACACCACACACACACACACACACACACACACACACACACACACACACACACACACACACACACACACACACACACACAACACACACACACACACACACACACACACACACACACAACACACACACACACACACACACACACACACACACACACACCACACACACACACACACACACACACACACACACACACACACACACACACACACACACACACACACACACAGAAGAGACAGCATGGTTTACACAGAAAGCTAAAGGTCACTGACCTGTCTGTATGGTTGGCACACATTAGCCTTCTCGTCCCTCACCATCTAAACAAGTGCACACCTTTCACTGCCTCTCTTCTCTTCCTATACCCTCACTCTTTCTGATCCATATTCATCAGGCATATTTTAGCTGTCCTCCTCTTTTCCCCTACAAGTAAACACAGATTTAAAACTGGAATCTGTTGCCTTTTTATTTGATACACACAGCTAGAATGCAATGCAATGCAATAGAAGAAGTCTGCAATAAACCTCAGGTTTACAAAGCTCATAATGTTGCTTTTTGTTGACAGCAAGGTGTTGATTCAGCCCTATCATTTTGGAGGCCAAACATTGAAAGCTGTATCTTATATTTTGTTCTCTGTCTCATGAAAACGGAATATAATAAGCTTTATAAAGTTTGGTTTTATTGCAGGGCGGTTGTGTCAGATTGCAGTTGCTTTAGAAAGGTGTGTGTACCTATTTAAACTGGCACCTTAGTGTGTTAATATAAAATATCCATCTGTATTCTGGAGTACAGCAGATGTACTGTCACTGCAGATACTATGAGGCACTGCTGCTGAGACAATGTTGACTTGCTTTTCAGGTTGCCAATAAAGCCTGTTTATCTGATGCATATAAACAGCAGGGTTTCACAACAACTCACCGAAAACATCTTTATGTGGAGGACTGCTGCTGACTGTAGTTAAAGCTTTAAATTGAGAGTTTTACACAACAATATTGACTTCACTACACTTTGAAGACACGGCAATCAAAAATCACCTGCTGAAAACTCAAAATATATTTCAAACGAATGCAATAGCAGGCAATGGGGGATACTAAGCTCTAAACTCTTGACGTTATTTGTATCAAACAAAACCTCTTCACTTAGCTATTTCCATAACAATGTCAGCAAGAGAGTTTAATAGATTCAATTGTTAATACTGTTAACAAGTTTATTGATGCAGAAACTGCATTGTGTTGGTTGGGAATACACATGGTGTAAAAGGGAATGATTGCAAATCAAGATTACACAACATGTGACCACTAATGGAACATGTACTAGCCCACTCAGCGGTGGTCAGTATTATTAGTGCACTCTTCAATACTAGCAATTTGAATATTGCCTAATAGCGCTATCTCCCCACCCTGCCATAAAACCACACACAAAGCCAAAGTGGTCCCCAACTTCCTCATCACGATACACTGACAAGACCGTTTTCTACAGCGTTTCTGTTCTCCTGATGAAAAGTCTGTGTCTTAGATAGCAAAGGGCCCCCCAGCTGAATACAGAAACAGTGAATGAAACCTGCTGCATTTCATGTCGAGCTGGATCCCAGGGGATCCCAAACCTTCCCTTCACATTACACTTCAAACCAAATGTAAGAGTTTGTAGCATTACAAAAGGCTCTGACTCAACATACGCAGCTGCTTATTTTCCCAGCATGTGTGAGGGAGAACGTCTGGGGGAATGTGTGTGTGTGTTTTTTACGTGTGTAAGTGGATGTGAATTCAGACACAAGATCTGATTGAAAGTCAGTGTTAGGCTTTCCTGTATTTTATAAAGAAATAAAGGCAGGGGAGAGAAAAGCGCCCAGACAGGGATGAGATGAGGGAGAGAAAAAGGACTGGGAAAGATATCCAGACCAATCCGTCGGGACCTGAGTGAGAAAATAGAGCAGCATCACATGTCTATTGAAAGAAGAGAGAAGAAAGCGGTATGGAGGGAGAGCGAATGAGGTCAGAGAAAGAGAGCGCAGGTGATGATTTTAAGCTCCTGGTGTCACAGGCAGATATAGGCTCCTCTCCTGCCCGCCAGTCATCTGCATCACACACAATGTCCCCTTTATTTGCAATATCACCTCCATCTATTTTGCTTCATCTGCCTCTCCGGTGTAGCAACTCGGGTGTGAGGCACTATTTCTCTCACCCTCGCACAGCTGCCAGCGATACTGTATGCATATATCATTCCTCTCATTCTCGCACTCACTCGAACGTTTACACATTCCGTCTTCTTACCTACTTTATTCTTCTCCGGCTATGTTTTTCCTTCATCCTCGACCCTTTTTTACACACACAAAAAGGGACACAACTGCTTAATAATAATAATAATAATAATAACTTGAATTGATATAGCGCCTTTCATAACCTCAAGGTCGCTTTACAAAGAAACATACAAGGACAAGACATAAAACATAATAAAAACATAAACATAAAACAGGGGGCAGAAATGGAAGTGTAAGTGGGGGGGCGGGGGGAGTGAGTTATTGTTGGAAGGCGATGTTGAACAGATGAGTTTTCACTGAGACACATTATGATTTTACATTTAAAGTCCAAAGCCCAAATCCAATGCTCTTGCCATATTTGAAACTATTCTTTCTATTCCTGAACTATAATCCTAGGAATGACTCTTAAATGCTTCCTGTCCTAAACACAAGCCGGCAAAACGTCCATCATTTGTAAGATCCTATCCCCTCCTCTTTTAATCCTTGAATAGAAAGGATAAAAGCATGAAAAGACAAATGCACACTTTATGCTCACGTTCACTATCTCTCCTTTTTTGTCTTGCACAAAACATACACACACATAAACAAACACACACAAGCACGCACACACACACACACACACACACACACACACACACACACACACACACACACACACACACACACACACACACACACACACACACACACACACACACACACACCCACACGCAAACTGGAGTCACTAAACCATGGAGAGACAGGGTTCGGTTCATTGCTCACCTTGGCTGGTGTGATCAATGGCAGTCTGCCTCCTCCAAATCCTTCCCACAAACAGAGCTGAATAAACAGGCAGGGAGTGTTTACACAGGCCCTGATCATCTGCTGATCCATATAACCTGCTTTCTAACCAGAACACACACACACACTTACACACACCAGCATTGAAAATGTACGGCGATAGTACTATGTACATATCCAGGAACACAGGCAGACAACTGTGCATTAAATCAGGAAAGAAAACACTTATCCGCACAAACATTTGCATGCACACACACATCAATGACTTTTGCCCATTATCCTCTCTGACCTCCTCAACAGGACATGGTTGATAGTCTCGTCGAGGTTGATAACAGACAGAAGGGTTAATAGGGATTAATGGACTGTGCACACACAGTTGCACACACACATAAGAGGGAACATAACCAGTGCTCAGGCTTTCATGTATCTCTGGAGCCTGTGTGTGTTTGTGCATTTGATTAATCAAGTGGAAGTATCATGTAGCTGTCGGCTGTGCAGCATTCCCACGGCTTGATGGGATAATTGAGGCGTGAAAAAGCCATATAGAGTTTGTCAAAACTCTAAATGGTCTGAGTTTAGCATCAGGACACCATGAGTGCAGCGCTTAGTGTCATTAACTCCCACTCTATGGAGCAGACAGATTTTATCACCAAGAAAAAAGTCACCGCTCTCTTCATTTATAATTTTTTATCAGTATCTCAGACATATTATAGTTATTCAAGACTTGCCCAGAGAAATACATGCTCTCCAATCTGTCTCACAAATGATTATATGGTTATATTGTTGCTAATATGGGGCGGATTTTGTAGCGTGATTCACAGTCAGAAGAAAATCCTCAATAGCCATGACTCTTACTACATGAATGCAAACATTGGTTGTGTTTGACTATTTGCTAAAATGACTATTGCTATTTTAACATCTTACCTTGCTGAAGAAGATAAATTAATCTTCAATCAGTGTTGTCTATTCAATAATTAGGTGTCCCTCATTTCCTTTGTAGGAAACTGGACCAGAAAGTCACTTTCAAATGTTAGTTATTGGTGCATAAAGTTGAATATGCCTTTGTATAGAGTGGTCGATTTCAGCATTTTTGCTTCTTACTGTATCATTTAGGTTTTTGGGCAATCAATTGTCAAAGCCTGCCTTCTGACTCATTGTCTCTGCTGCTGTCTGAACTATTTCCCCTCACATTTTGACTGATTCTGTTCTGGTTTCACCTTGCTTTCACCGACAGCATCTTCGTCAATTGAACATTTTCTCTTCTCCCTGTTCTCTTCAGGTGCGGTGGACAAAGACTGCAGGCAGTGCATCAGACAAGTTCCAAGAAACATCAATCTACAACGAGACGCTGCGCATTGAGGGCATCCAGAGGGTGCAGGGGGGTCGCTACTACTGCAAGGCCGACAACGGGGTGGGGGTGGCTGCCATCAAGTCCATCCGCGTAGATGTGCAGTGTAAGTGGGCAGGGAGAGAGATGAGAAAAATAAATAACTCCTTCCACTTTTGGACCACAGCTAACTATCACTACAGCCATTCCCACTGTAAGACCAAGATGGGGGGAGATGGAAAGATTGGAGGAGGAAAGATGAAAGACAGATTGGATGGATGATGAGATTTCAGTTGGGAATGGCTTCCAGGAGTATCTGATGACTTATGGTGGAACAGCATGGTAGGAGGATTACGGGCAAAGAGGATAGATCAAAAAGAAGTGCAGTATTTTGAAAGGATATAGATAAGATGCTGCAACACGTTGAAAATGAACATCTCAATGTTTTGCCTGTAGTGTAACTTTGGTTATTTTACGGATATTGCAGGTGTGTGTTCTTCACCAATGAGTGTAATGAGGGGGGGGGGGAAGTTGTATCAGATACTCCTGGAAAAAAGTGAAGTCTGTTGGACAAAGAGTTTTATAACAGTTAGTCCAGGTGGTACGGGCTCCCTAACGCACTGTTTCTCAACAAAACATGTCCCTACTATTTAAAAAGTACTAAAATAACAACATTTTACACATGTTTAGCGGTTCGGATGAAGATTTCTTCTTGCTGTTTAGCTCTGTCACATCCTTAGATTTGACAGTGCCTGCCATTATTATCATATTAATGATTAATTGGCTGATAATTAATCGATTACCTTTCTTTAACAAACGTTGTTCCACATCCTTTGACCTTTTCCAGCAGCCTGGCTATGTGATGGGCCATTTGTGGTTGTCTGTCATAGACACAGACATTGAGAAGCAGTGTGTTGTAGGGGCCCCGTGCTGCTGCTTGTTTCACTGCCCCACTGTTCCTGTGAGTCAGGGGCCAGGTCTTGGCGACAGGTTGACGCACATGCAACTATATAACAGAGACACATCAATAATTACACATGCTTATTTAATTCCCAGCCCCCTTAAAACCTTACCCATCCATTACAGGAGTTTATTACATAGACAGTCCTTTCCTTCATTGATTCAATCATTGTAATGGTTGGTTTATAGACTCATATAAAAAGGCTGATTGTCCAGGGGCCCAATAAAACTAAACATCCTTTACCTGTCTTTCATTTGCTCTCTTCTTCTGCTCTGCTTTGTATACAGCACAACACCCTCTCCCCACCCTCTCCACACACACACATACATGCTCGCACCATGCTTCTCCTTCTAGGATTTGTCACTTATACACCCACCCTGCCTCAGCCTCTTAAAGGGGCTCCCCCTCTTCCTCCTTCTTCCTGCTTAGTGTTAACTCTCTCCAGGCGCTAGCTTTGTCCCTGCTGGGGAGCTGGTAATTGCAGGGGGCTTGGGTAGTAAACAGGTTGCAGCGTGCGTGTAGTTGTGACAGGTGCTCTGTGAAGCTAACTAGCTTTGAAGGCCTATGCTTGTTCAATTCTCCATCCCCCATGCCGCGTTAGACCCAGCAGCGATCAGCAACGCTTCTTCACAGGGCGACTTCAGTGCGAGCACGATGTAATAATTAGCCAAAGCTTTGCTACAAAACAACAGAGAGTTAGAGAGATAAATGAACGTGGAGGGAAAGATGTATTGGAGGGTAAGAAAATAGGGGGAAAGCAGGGAGGGAACAAACCGTAACCACCGAGGCTGAGTGTCCTTGAAGATAATTTGAACAGACGGCCAGCTGAAAAGAAAACCAACATCTCTTGAGATATTCTAAACTAATTGCCTATATTTATGGGTCCGTGGTAGGCAAATTAAAAGAAAAAAAATCAACATGGTTTATTTTTAAGATGTTTATCTGCTAGTCCCCAGCTTCTATTCTCCTGACATACAAGTCGCTTGAATTTGGAAGTAGCTTGACAGTCATCAGTAAGTGATCATTTGGATTGAGATCTGTTGCTTAGATGTGTCGTTTCTGGCTCTAAACCGCTGACAACATGGCAGCTTGGTAAACACAAACGCCTGGCTCCGAAAAGTCCTGTCAAAAGCCAATGGGAGATGTCAAAGATGACATGTCCATGGTTTTTCTACAGAGATGGCACAAGAGAAATGGAAAAATAAGTGTAGTTCAAGCGCACACAGGAATTGTTACTTTAAATAAACAGAATATGATACTGTATGTTATTGATTACCCTGATCCTGTCTTTTGGATGTGAAAGTTAAGTGGCACTCTACTTTACAAGGAAAAAAACAAAGCAGAGAGAAACCTTCAATGACAGGGAAAAGCTGAACAAGAAAAGGCTGATGATTGATCGTGGCTGAGTAGATTGTAGCGATAAGGTAGACGTATTTAACTCCAAAAAGGGGAAAAAGAGGGACATTTTAAAAAGGAATAAGACAAATGGAGGGAGAGGCGAAAAGAAAAATTAAGACAGCAATGTGAAGAATCTCAGCAGGGAAAGGAGAGAAGCACATAATAAGGGAGAGGCACTCATGCTTTTCCATTTGTATGCAACCAACAGACCAGTTATGGGACTAGAGGGCAGAACATGTTGTTACCTGCACATGGCATAAACAAGGGCTGCCTCTGTTGTGTGACTGGTATGACCATCCACGACACATTCAATTAACTATTTCCTTCGCTTCTGTTTCCCTTATTCCTCCTTCTTTCATGTTGTCCATCTTGTTTTCCTTCCATCCTATCCTCTTCTCTGAACCACACACACCAGTGCGTGATGCAACCATGTTATTGGTACTGTGAGGTTCAACCAAACACAGCAGTATGAAAGACATCATGCATACAAACACACACACAAACACACACACTATTACAACTGGCTGCTCTTCACACACTTGTACCTTTATGTACGTTTACATAAATGAAGATGAAGTGTAATGCACACAGTAGTATTAAAGCACTTTCAAGTATGCACAACCCAAATATGTCCGAAAGCACATACACTCATACCAAAGCACACACTTACACTTCAAAGTGCAATGTGTGAGAGCAAGACGAACAGTTGATAAGAGTGAATGATGGATTTGAACTGAAAGGACAGCAGAGAAAATGTGTGGAGATTCAGGATTAAAGAAATGATGCATCATGCAAAACTCACCTTTATATTTCAATATCCAACACCCTGTATGACTGTGTCTCATTCTTTCGCTTCCTTTCTTTTAATTTTCGCTCTGTTTTTTTTACCACAACTCTCACAGAAACCTTTCTTTCCTCCTTTTCCAATTCTTTAGACCTCTTATAGTACACTGAACAAAAATATAAACGCAACACTTTTCGTCGTCCATAACATACGCCTGCCCATACCATAACCCCACCACCACCATGGGCCACTCGATTCACAACATTACCCTAACCCTACCCCTACCCCTACCCCTACCCCTAACCCTACCCTACCCCTCACACCAGATACTGACTGGTTTTCGGACCCCCCCAATAAAGCAAAACTGCACGTTTCAGAGTGGCCTTTTATTGTGGCCAGCCTAAGGCACACCTGTGCAATAATCATGCTGTCTAATCAGCATCTTGATATGCCACACCTGTGAGGTGGGATGGATTATCTCGGCAAAGGATAAGTGCTCACTATCACAGATTTTTTCAGATTTTTGAACAATATTTGAGAGAAATGGTTATTTTGTGTATATAGAAAATGTTTTAGATCTTTGAGTTCATCTCATGAAAAATGGGAGCAAAAACAAAAGTGTTGCGTTTATATTTTTGTTCAGTGTATGAATCAAACCTGTAAATTAGTCATTCATTTAGCCGATATTTGGTTATTGACCATAGGGCTATTTTAATAATACAGTTAGCACATAACAAAATCAATGCCAGCCAGCTTGTTATCCTTGTGAACCTTGAGCAAACACATTATAAAGTCTATGTACTTAATGATCAAATACAGGTAAAGCTCCTTCTGTCAATCTTCCCTTTTCTAATTTCCCGGAAAGCACATACAGCAACCTTTCCATTAATTTCCACCCAGCAACACCTCATTAACACACCACTGCAAACACCCATCTGTCCCCGTCAGACCTCCATCACACGAGGTCACATGTTTCAACCAGTTGACCAATGACCTGGCACTCTAACCATTGAGGCAGTGGGGCAGTGAGCAGGCGGGTATAACTTTAAGTAGCCTCTACTGATGGGATGGACTTGGTTCAGAAACCCAACCAATGATACTTTAGCTTTAGAAAAATGGTTATCTTAGGTAAGTGTATATTAAATCCTCTCTATGGATTCAATACTCTCTTCAAGACACATGAAGGTAAGTGGAAAAGTTATAAATACTGTCTGATGGTAATATTGATGTATGTTATCTTTTATGGGAATGTGTGAAGATGAAGTTGATGATATTCATGGTGCTGTTGCCTTTGCAGGGATGTTTCTTTCAGTGGTCTTGCTTCTGTGACAATGTTGACTCAAGGACATTGCAAATTAAATGCATAACATACTAATGCCCTCTCCCTAATGCAGGTGTTTTCAAAGTCTGACCCTACACATCCCCCCTAAAGACTAAAGAAAACAGTCGATTAGAAGTAAACCTTCCTAGCTGATTTTCAGGCTTTTGACTTTTTCAAAGTTCTGGCACTAACCTCTTTGTATGTGACAGCAGTAAAAGTCAATGGAGTGTAAGACCATACATCTGCAAATGTACACAAGCCCTTTCACAGCTTAGGCACTTATCACCCTTACTGTCACTGGCTATGGGAATGTCTACAATGTGTACTCTATTATTCCAGCACTGAGTGTTTAGAAGAAGCCCCAGTGAAGTAATACGTAAGTACTCTAGATCTGGTGTTTCTGACAGTTTCACGCACACACAAACACAAAGACACATTCACACATACACTTACACTTTCACACCCATAAAGCAGGGTTGCCAACTTTGGGTACCTGGCTGGAGTGAGATTTTGATATCATGGTTTAATTACACATATGCGCACGAAATGACTGCTATCGTGTCAGCAGCGGGACCGTAGCATATATATAGGATATATATACAATATATACAAATACACAATATTGGACACAGACTATAAAGGGCACAAAGTTTCATTCACTAA